TGCTCCAACAAGTAGTTTTAGTTGAAGACATCAGAATTATGGAAAATATCAAACAAGAAACTGCCTAGAAAAGCTATCGGGAGAGAATTTACTCATGGAGTTCTTGGCTAATTGATTTCTTAGTAAAATGACTTAAAGGTTCAAAGACATAATAGGCAATGGAAACTCAAATTTAGGCAATATGGACAAGAGTAAGGCAGGAACACAATGGCTCCAAATTCCAGTTTGAAATAACAGGAACCTTTAGAACTATATGGCAGACTTTGTTTCTCAACCCCAGTTTCTTGGGAAGATAGGACAAGCCTCTTCATTTTGGTCTCCAGCAAATCAAGATTGAAGAAGTGTTTTTGGTTTTCTTTAGCCTTAACCCCATGGAAAAATAAAGCAGCTTGACTCGAGAAGCAGCATAACTGCATCCTTGTGGTGGTGTGCTTCCCCATTAACTGGTGATTTCCCCTATGGCAGTGCTGTGCTGCAGGGGATATTTGCATCCTGGGAAAACTGGCCCTACCAGGAAGGCTGCTGCAGGAATCCCCGCGCTGCTCTGGCAGCCAGGCCATTAACGTGGTGCTGCAATTAAACTAATAAGACTTGGCTGACCTAAATGGCTTGGCCCAGAGCCACTGCAGGGATGTTTGTACCTTTGGCATGGTTCACCCACAAACCTGTATAATCCACCTGCAGACAATGGCCCATGTCTGCTGTAATTGAGCACTCGAGGCCTCTGTAGCCAGTTCTTTCCAAGACGTGTAAGCTGTTTCTCTCTGTTTCGTCTCCACCCTTATCTGCTATAGTCACGCATGTAAATTTACATGAATATTTGTGTACCTATATATTAATGTTTTGCTTGGGAATGGAGTCTGTAAGTGAAGCAAGAGGGTAACTCTTTGAAGATGTAAGCAACAGTTAACATTGCCTGGGTAAACCTGCTTAGCCATTTTACCTGTGAGACGAGCAGTAACCTCCTTAGCTGGATGTCCTGCTTCTTCTGAAACAGTTCTGCTTTGAAAGCAAAACCAAGCACAAACCTGGCCCTGCAGGGTTCAATGCAGTGGTGTTCTGTGGCTCAGGGTGGGGAGCCCTGCTGTGCTGCTCTGCTGCAGGCACTGCAGATGCAGCAATTCCTGCTCTCCTTGGAGCAGCCCAGCAAGCCCAACAGCAGAGACCTTTGCAATGCTGAGGATTCAGATGAAACCACTATGTTCACAAAAACCAAAAAAACAAGCAACACCAGGAAAGGCAAGATTCAACAAAGTAAATACAGTGGATGAAGCCACTGGGCAGCAGAGTCCAGTTGCTTCAAGATCTTCTGGCTGTGTCACCTCAAAGGACCTCAGTGACGTCTCCTCTTGGTGCACTATGGGCTCGGGAAGTGCTGAAGCCTTGTCCTCCCTTACCCAATGGTGTAGCTGTGATACTTCTCTGGTTTTGATTTCATCCTTACATGTACCTTTCTACAACCAACCTAAAGCTGTTCTTTCAGCATTTACTATTTTGTTGGTTGTTTGTGAAGTCCTTATGTTGATCTGTCCAGTGTTTCCCAGGGCTGTTTGTTATCCCTGCTCTTGCTGAGCTCTGTGTGAGGGGGTGTCTTCTCTGTTAGACCTGTGTTCAGAGCTGAAGGGTTTGGTTCTGCACATTCAAAAGCTACAGTGCAGGATAGGTGCTGTGTGAGGTGTAAAGAACTGAGAAAGAATGGGCCCACTTACACTTTTCTGTGGGTGCTCAAAGGGCCTTTTAGACACACCATTGTCTTCAGCTTTCCAGCAGCCTTGACTTGAGAACTTGACCTGTATAAATTGCAAAAGATATATGTGTTGCTTCATGTAGTACCGTGTTCTGTATTTTTGGTTTTTTGTATTTTTTGTTCTGTATTTTCTGCAATGTGTAAAGACTGCTGCAAAGATGAAGAAATATTCCATGAGGGTGATCCTGCCTATCTGTGTTTTGCACACAAAAATATTCTTCCACAGCGAGTCCCCAGTGGAGTTCAGCTGCTGTTCTCTACCAGGTGTGGTTTTGTGTTGTTGCCAGATATAGACAGTTCTGGAGGGAGAATGTGGGAATGTGTAGCTGCAAAACTGGCTGTGATGGCAGCTTTCCCCAGCATGCCTTCTGTCTGCACAGTGGGAAAACCTACTGAAGAAATGGTTTTTGAAGAGCTGAGTCAAAGAGGAAGTGTAATTTTTCCCTGGAGTTCTCCTAGGTATTCCTAATGATTTTCCCAACTAGAGCTGAGATTTTTAACAGCTGAGAAAGTTTACCAACATTTTGAGGTTGGTATGTTCAATGCCTGTAAAGTTCTTTGCAATTCAGACACCTCACTCTGGTTATCTGGCTCTTCAGGCTGGTGTCCAGTACTGTCTGAAGTGCACAAGTTGTTTTGGTGTGGTGTCACCATGCTTCATGGGGACAGGATGTTGAATTCATCCTAGGCTAAGCCCATATACAGTTTGCTTCTACACAAACACATTTTTCTCTAAAAAATGCAAACTTTTGTGGAGAAACCTGGGTTCACATAGTCTATAGGAAATTTGGGGACATCCTGAAAAAATGGTTCACCGAGGTCTGGGGGTTCAGCAGAGCCACCCTGTCGCGTGGGCACAGGGCTGTGTCACCCAAGTGGAGCTGTAGCATGTTTACTGAGCAGTCTGAAAAGCTTTTTCTGGCAGGTGTGTATGTGTGCTTCAGCTAGCTCTGTCACCAGGGAGCCATCACCAACCTCCATGGTCCTGGCTCCAGGTGCTTTTGCTGGAGCACTAAAGGGAAAGGAAACTGTCCCAAAGGATCCTACAGCCCTGCCAGAGGAGCAGTGGTTGGTAGCAATGTTCCCACCTCCAAACAGCCTTGGTGGGGACAGGCCCCTGAGAGCTGTAGACACTCGAGATTTGGCAGGCAATTCCAAAACTGCTGCATCCTGCTTGTCGGGCTCTTAAAACAGGATTTGAAGAATCTTTAAACCCTCTGTATCTCCATTTAGTGGAGATGTGCCAGTGGTTTTTGTCCAGGTATTGTCTGGAAGAAGAGCTAGAAGAAGGAATGGAGAGCAGCCTGGAAGTGGTATCAAAACTGCAGTTTCAAGAGGCCCAGGAGCTACACCAGAAAGAAAATACTGTTGATTATTGTCAAACTGAAGTCTAGTAAAAACCTGGATTGTTCTTGACAGTGCTAGTGAAGCCATACATCCACTTCTTTTGGTTGCAGTTCTTCAGTATGTCAGGTTTTTGATTTTTAGGAAGATTTTTATGCTGTGGGTTTTACTATGAAAAGCTGAAATCAGGCAGTGCACAGTGGAGGAGAAGAATGCATTTTTCATAAGATGGTTTTCCTTTTTCTTTGGGGAAAAGGGGAATGTTTTCCTCCTTTCTATATAAGATATATAAATTCTGTATATTATATGTATTTTAGGGATTAGAATTTAGACTTTTATAAATATATAAGTGATTAGAAAGTTTTCATCCACTTACTGTCAATTACACATATATTTTTAATCAGCTTTGTCCTCAAACCAAATTGGATATGCCTGTGCCAGGAGAAATGAGTCAAATCTGAAGAAATAGCATCCTCTTCTTCCCTGTTGTAGTCAGATAAAAAGAAACATTGAGGGGAATAGTAAAGTCCAAATCAAGATCTCACATTTCCTTCCAGTGCCTGAAGGGGGCCTACAAGAAAGATGGAGAGATACTTTTTCAAGGGCTTGGAGGGATTGAACATGGAGGAATGCCTTCAAACTGAGAGAGATGGGATATTAGGAAGAAATTCTTCCCCATGAGGGTGGTGAGGCCCTGGCACAGGGTGCCCAGAGCAGCTGGGGCTGCCCCTGCATCCCTGGCAGTGCCCAAGGCCAGGCTGGACATTGGGGTTTGGAGTAGCCTGGGACAGTGGGAGGTGTCCCTGCCATGGCAGGGGGTGGAATGAAATTCAAGGTCCTGTCTAACCCAACCCATTCTATGACTCCAGGGCTGTGATTCAGAAAATATCCCTCAGATACCAAGATTGTAGAATGAGTTTAACAGAGAAATTGCATCAGAATTAAAGATATCTTCAAAATAAAATGACTGCTTAATTTTTTATTTGATAGGCAGTTCTTGCAGAAAATAGGCCAGGCCTTGGGACTGTGCTTGAAGAGAAGCTTTATAATACTTGGGCCAGACACTTAAATTCTATGCTTTTTCCCTAGTTTCCTAAGGTGGCATTTCCTGTGCACTGTTCTGATTATCTCAAGGGGCATTTCATTCCCATATTCTTCTTCTGTGCTTACACAGAGTTTGTTTGACTTCAGAGCTTCTGTTTGGGATGTTGGTTGTTACCAGCTAAGAATGAGCAATGTGTATTGGAGGGTGGTGCAGCTCATATTTCTGTATGAGGTAGAGTTATCTAGAAACAGTATTTGTGTGTTGAATTGTCACATCAACATTCTGCTGTCCATTTTGCTGCTAAACTCACTGATCATATATGTAGATTCCACATTCAAGCATAGTCTCTAAAATTACCTTAAGAACACAGCACAAAATCTGCCTAGCACAAAAATTCTTACCTGAAGTACCTTCCTTAATAATTCAAAGCAAAAAGATGATTTCTTTTCTTTTCTAAGGCGAAGTCTCAGAATAATAATGCATACACACACACACACACATACACATAATGGAATTACAATCTGTAAATAGAATCAAATAAATGCAAAAGATCAAAAACTGAAAAATGAGGATACATACATAAAAAGTAGAGCAGACTTGCCACATCCCCACAATACCTAGCTGTAGAGAGGAATCTCTGAACTGAGAAGTTTGGCACTAATACTCTGTTGAATTCTGAGGCACTTTTCTCCATTTTACCCCTGTTTTGGTTCAGTGCCAGGAGTCAGCATTTCCCAAGCACACGATAAGGATCTGTGAACAGGTTATCAGTTCTTTGGGCAGTGCTGTGTCCCACAGCCAGATGCCACCTCAGCAAGGGTGTAATCCTTCCTTGGCTTGTGCTGACAGGTTTTCTGTGTGCAGGGCTCACTCGATTCTGGTCTCTCCTCCTTCCAGGATGGCTCGCTCTCTGTATGAGTGGCTGTGGCAGCACGAGTTCTGGCTGCCCCCAGGAATCACCTGGGAGGACATGCAAGAGTCTGAAGACACTCATTACCCTCAGCCTCGTGATCTCCTGCTCAGTATCCCTTTTGCTTTAATCTTGGTAGTCATTCGGTGTGCCTTTGAAAGGTAAGTTATTTAATACTGTTTGTGGTTGCTTAGGTACAATGGGAGCAGTTTGGGTCCAAAAGCTGGCTTTATTGTCTGTGCCAATGCATGACTGAAGAGATGCACAGAGACTCCATGTCACAGTCTGCTGGCATTTTTCAGCACCTTCCTTTCAGCCCTGTGTACTGGCTAAAGAAGTGTGTTGAATGTAGAGCACAAACCCTATCCTTAGGGTCTATTTGCAAGCACTGTGACTTTGTACACATTGAACAGATCAGTGTAGGTGAGGTTTATGTGTGTGTTTTGCTGGTTTGTGTGTGTTGCATGTTACTTGCTGTTTCTGGGTTGAGTGTGGCAGAAATCATGTTAAGACTCCATCGTACAGTAAAGTCTCCTTTATCTTGGGTGATGGGGATCTGGAGTATTGCACCTGACAGACAAACCTGAGCAAGATGCATCAGACTGGGCTGAGCCCTGTGCCTCAGCATCAGCCCTGCCTGGCACAGGGGTGTGTGGCACTGATCCCCATGTGGGCTGGCAGTGCCCCTGCTCTCCTCTGCCAGGGACAGACATTTGCAGCTGCTTCTGACTTGAAGTTGCTACAGACCCTTCAGTGCTGGGCTGCCAGGATTTCTGCTCCTCTCATTCTGCTACCAAATCTGCTTTTGGGGCTGCTTTTTGCAAACTCTGTGATATCATCCTCCAGTGCTGGCACAAGAAGTTACTCTGACGCAAGGATCTTTCTGACCAGAACCATTTGAATGTTTTTCACATTACACTTCAGCACAGAAAATTTGGGCCTTATGACAATAGCAAGAAATCCTGCAGGTGTCACTAACTCTGAGTTTAATCATTAAAGTCCTGAACTGGTGCCATTGCTTAATGCAGTTTGGTCAGTAGTTAATGTGGTTGGTGACACATGATTTGCTGGTGGAAAACAGATTTACTACAGCATTAACTGTTGATAAGACTGCAGAGCAAGTCTCCTTCATGATTTTGAATACACTTTAAAGTGGTTTTCAGTATATTCAAAACACAGTACTCTTAGTAGCTCTCTGAATAGGTAATAATTCAAAATCTTCATTGGTTTTAAGTTTAGAAAGAGGGGAAATGACAATTTAAAAAACGTTTTATTATTCTCTTTTGAAAAGTGGGTGCACAACAAAATGGAAATGGACTTTTCTGTAGACTAGAAGGATGTTTCTTCTGCAGATTCTCTGTGACACAAGGGTAGCTTGGAAAAACCTATAGAAGTTGAAATGATTCAGAACTCTCCTATAAGAATGTTTTTATCTAAAAATAGTGGCTGTAAGTTGGGGTATTTTATTAAAACTAAATGTGTGAATAATTACTGAAATAATCATTTTAGGATGATACAAGATTGGAATTAAAATATCTTCTTTGTAAAGAATATGTTCAGTGTGCATTCCATAAATTCCATGGTTTTTGTCCTACACTTTCCTGGGTACAGGGCATCTTGGTTACCTCTATTCATGTGGAAACCTAGGTGCTCTGGTTAGCCATTAAAACACAAGTGACTCACATTTCTTTCCTGCTGGTGCAGAGACCTGGCTGGATTCCTACTCCTCCAGGTGGGCCCTGCTGGTGGGTGACACAGATGTGCTTCTGGTGTGGAGCTGGAAATGGGGCCCATGTGCCACTGATGGCACTTGGCCAGTTTATGGCTCCCCAGTGCAAGACATGGCCAGGAAGGAGGAGCCAAACTCTTCCCAGTGGTGGCTCCTGACAGGACATGAAGCAGTGGGCACAAACTGAAATGCATGATGCTCCATCTGCACACACAAAAACTCTCCTCTTACTGTGACGGTGGTCAAACATTGGAACAGTTTCCCCAGAGAGGGAAGGAGTCTGCCTGAGCAGAGATACACAACACCCAGCTGGACACAGCCCAGGCAGCTGCTGGAGCAGCAGAGCTGGGCTGGGTCGTCTCCAGAGGCCCCTTTCAGCATCTCTGATTCTGTGCTTCTGTCACTCCATCCCTTTATTTGCTTACCTCCTGCCACACCACTCCCAGTCAATCTAAAAATCTTTTTCATCTGCTTTTAGATGCCAATGCCCAAGTAAAAAGATTTTTTTCTTTCCCATCCAAGTGCTGCCTCAGCTGGGAGTGTTTCCACAGGCCTGGTCCTACTCATTAATTTTAAAGCTGTTTTGATTCACAAACTTCATTAAATTAAAGCTGCATGTCACACCCTTGAAAAAGATAACATCACAAGCCCATTTTACAGGTCCAGGAAACCTATAATCATAGTACTATTTTACCTATGCAAATTACAAGCCGGTGTTCTGAGCTGTATTCTTGTTTGTCCTAACTGTGCAGTAATTTATTTCAGCGTGACTTTTTCTCATTCTGAATCATTACTGTTTCACATCCAGTTCATCCTGGAGAAGAAATCTTCCCCTGGGAAGGTGAGGTGTGAATCCAGCCCTCAGTTTCTCCATTGCCTTATCTGTATCTTTAAACAGTGGCACTGGCCCTGTTTAAAATACTTTATACCAAGTTTTAGAACTGCAGAAGGAAATTTTTATTTCTCATTTTCTGTGTAGATAACCCTGACTGTATATTTTTGGGCACCTAGTCTGCAGATTGAAATGAGTGGCTGTAACTAGAGACAGGTTTGGGTTTAGTGGCTGTAGCTTGCCCTGTGGCAACTTATTCTACCTTCAGCCACCACCAGCTATTACTTGCAACTCTGCATTGGGTGCCAAGTTTTTCTCTCTCCAGATAGTTCCTGGTGGTGTCTGCTTTGGGATTTCAGACATGTTATAATGTGATTCATGTGATTTAACTGTGAGAAATCCAGGTAAATAATAAGAGGCAGGGGAAGTCTGGAGGATTTTCTGCAGTGTGCCATCATTGGCCACATCAGCCGCTGTGCTGGGACCAATTGTTTCATCCTTTTTTTAGGCATTAAACTTGTGAAAGGATGGATTTTCCTCTCCTTTGCACCAGCTGGCTGAACTGAGGAAAACTGAGACAGCAACGTCCTTCCAAGAGGCAGCGATGCTGGGGATGAGGTGGTGGCTGTGGGAAGAGGATCTGCAGTGTCTGGGTGTGCCTGGGAGAGCTCAGGAGGTTGTGGGTGCAGCCCTGGGGGAGAAGAAACAGCTCACGGGTTGTGAAGCAACTCCCCTGTGAGCTGGTTTGTACTGAGGAAGGTGGGGAAAGGTGGATTCAGGGCTGGAGAGTAGAAATCCCATTTCTGCTGCAGTGCTGAGCTATGCCACAGTACTGAGGCAGGAACTGGGGGAAGCAGTTAATGATGTCCTGAGAAGAGAGAAGACCTAGAACTTGGGAACCTCCCCTGTTCCTTTAATGTTTCCAGATTGCACTTGTGAGTAGGAGATATGTCCAGCAACCATAACTTGGAGCTTGATTTTACTTAGCAGAACTTTTCCCTGGGCATAGTCCTGCAAGGATGTTGGCTACTCTTCTAGTTATGTAATGTTTAAGACCATTTCTGTAAAAATCAAGTTTTTGGAAAGCTATGATATTGAAGGAGTATTGCAAAGTGTTTCTTACCTGCATGGTTAGTAAAATGTGGCAACTAAAGTCCTTTGAGAAATAGTAAAGCCATTGAAAACCAGACTTTACATACAATTTTTGATTTGTCTGACTTTGGGCTTGTCCAGGAATTTTTGGGTGTTGGGCAATTGAAAGGAATTGTCAATGAACTTGAATCCACACAGCTCCCAGATTTCACTAGAAGAAGATTTTAGTCAGAAATACTCGGTCTCTTTGTGAGAGGGTGGTGCCAGGATGTGAGCCATATGTTATACATTTAAAGAAATAGACACTCTTGATCAGCAGGAACAGATACTTGAACTCAAAACCAGAAGAAGGAAAGGACACCAATTCTGAATATTTTATTTAGAAATGCATCTTTCTAAAGCTTATTTTGCATTGAGACTTTTGTTGTTGATCAGTAATCAGGAAGGATCTGGAAACAGTTTCCTGTTAAGGTCTTACAGGCAGGGCTTGGTGCAGGGATGAGGGACACATTGCAGCATTGAACTGAAAACAAACCTGGCTCAGTCTGGACAGCAGCACTGTAGTGAATCCAGGCCTTGTATCAAATGGAACAGTCAGTTTAACTGGTGTGAAACATTCTCCTGCAAGCAGGAGAAGGCAGAGACTACACCAGGAGCACAGCAATAGCCCTCTGCCAAAGGAAAGCAGGGGGCCAAAAGAGACTGTGCAGTTCAAAGAACAGAAGTTCAAATTGCTGCTGTCACTGGTTCTGTATTTCTTAGTACTTGAAGGTATTTGCAAGTGGCACCCTTATAAATAATATTTTAAAAATCCACCTCCAAAGTCAAATATTTCTTTTACCTCACACTAGCTCTAAAAGCATCTGCAGGAGTGTAGCCCACTTTTGAAAGATGGGAGAGTAGCAGTTTAAACCCATTCATTTAAATCCACTTAGTTTCAACTTCAGGAGGTTTTGCACAAGACAGCTTGTTCTGTGATTACTGAATAAAGTGCCTTGGAGAGACCTCTGCCATGTAAAACATGGAGTGAGATGTGCTCACTGATGGAGGAGTAGGCTGGTGATGAGAATCATCTCCCTGACTGTGTCTGACTCTGAGAGGAGACAGTTTAGTCCTCAGATTTACCCTTTTGTCTTGCAGAGAGCTGATAAAGTGCCATGATGAGGCTGTCTCTGCCACTGAGATGACATATCTGTGATGTTGAAATCAGAAGAAGCATCATCCTTTTAGGGCTGTGCTTGGAACAGGACTGAACTAAGAACTGAGTCAGAGCATACAGCCAACACATGCAAATGTCCCTTAGGAAGAATTTCAGGCCTTGTTTTCCCAATGATGTTCATAAAAGTAGGATTGGTTCCATAAATCATGGGTAAACTCAAAACTGGAATAACAAAGTAATTGTAACTGGTTACACCCTGTCTTCATCCACTGCTAGTGGCTTGTTTCTGTTGCAGAGAGATTTTATGCCACAACCATAAGAAATCATCAGAAAATATAGAGAAGTCAGGGATTAAACAAAATTAAGAAAATTTTCAGGATACTTTTCAGTAAAATAAATTTGTTGGCAAGCTGCATTGACACCTGACATTCTCTTTGTTTAATGTATCTGGAAAATGTCATACATTGCAGTTCCCAATATGGCCTGAGAAGAAGTGGCAGTAAGGTAGTTTTCAACAATATAATTTATTGCATCTTTCTCTTCAGAGGTGCTTATATTGATGCCTGTTCTTTGAAAGAGAAAGATCAGGCCCACTGTTTAATATAAGAACCAAGATCTAGTGCAGAGCTTAAGGTGGATGTTTTCCCAACTTGAGTGGAGTTATGGATACTACTGAAATATTGTGTTATTGTTCTTAGCACAGGACCTGCCGGTCCAGTATCACTCTTATTAAACCAATCACTTCATATACAAAAAAGTCATTAGATGCACTTAAAACATTTATTTAGAGCAGTCAGAGCCAAACCCCAGAATTCCCAGTGATGGCTATATTCCTTTGCCACCCAGCAGCAGTGCCAGAGTGCTGCTAAATTTCACTGAAACTGGTTAATGCTTCCCCGTGTTTTTGTGATCACTTTGTGTCTTGTTGCCAGCAAGCACACTTATACCTGGCCCTTCTTTTAGGGTAGAAACATGTAATTTTTGTTGGCTTTGGTACATCTTTGAATGTGCCTATAGCCAGTGATGCCAAAGGAATTTCCCAAAGATAATGACAAAGAACAATTGATACACAGGCAGATGGGTTGGCTGTGCAAAAGAAAAGTGAGAGCTGTTATATGAGTGAGCAAAATGTGTACCCATCCTGTGGTTTAACAGAAGTTACAGCATTCCTTAGGTAGGGGGTCTTTTTATATATTTTTTTTTTTTAATACTAGATAATTAAATTAAGAAATGAGTTCTTGAAAAGAAAACTTCTGAAATACCCATCTGGAGGATTCTGGACCTGAAATAGTCCCTAAAGATATGCATATGGAGTATAAGCTCTATGACTAGCAGAAACCACAGGTAACCACACCAGATAATCACAGCCATAAATATATCCCATACTATTTTGAAGTAGAACACCTTTAAGCACCTGAACAGTGAAATAGCTTTTGCAGCTTTTTTTAACCAAAGTGAAAGGAAAAAAATCTTCTTCTGTGTCCAAATCATTAGGGAGAATGGATCAGAGGACTTGCCTGGACATCAGGAGTGACCAGGCAGAGCAGGTGTGGGCTCAGCACTCACTGCCTCTGCTTGGTGCTGTCAGCTCAAAGCAGCTTCAGCACCAGTTTGCAGTAGCACAGAGACCCTTCCCCAGTGGGAGTGTGTAAAAGGGAGCAATTAATAAGAACAGCTAATTCTTGAGAAATTAAAGTAAAATTCAGATTATTTGGATATTTAAAAAAAAAATTGTTTGACAAGTTTCCTCTTTGTGCAATATTTATGCAGGATTTCACTTCACCTTCAATGAGGATGTTTTCTGCTGCTGAGGTAGAGAAGGGTGTTGGTAGTAGAGGAGTTGAGTTGTTGAGCACAGGAATTCTCTGACAGTTTTCCTTGGATAATTTTTTCTATTTATACAGGGGTTTTTTGTTTTGTTTTGTTTTCTTTATTTCTTCAGTGTGAAAGACTGAAGATACACGGCTGGTAACTGTGTTTGATTTATATTAGGAAACATGGGGGTAAGTTACTCCAGGAAAGACCAAATGGCTTCCTGTTTCAGCAGGACATTTCTTCTGCATTAAAAATACACCTCTGGCAGAGCCTCCCTCTTGATCCTGAGCCTAGGCCTTAGTTCAGGTGAATGCCATGTATGCTCCATGTTCTAGATCAAGCAGGGAACAACATTTAGGCCTTATCACCAATGTGGTACTCCCCATCAGCTGCAAGGATGCCAGAGGCTCAGAGCACAGAGCTCAGAGCAGTGGGGTGCAAGTCCAACAGTTTCTATTGTAAGTTTGTGATTTTACCTGCTCAACATAATACTCATATTTAGATTCATATGTGGGAAGCAGCTGTTATTTACTGCACCATGTTTTAACAGTGCTGCAAAATCAGAAATCACTGTTCTACTTTTGGCTGACCGTTTATGTTTTCTTTTGCAGAGCCATAGCCCTGCCCCTCAGTACCAAATTGGGTGTGAGAGACAAGCAGAGACCAAAAGCTCAGCCCAACCCCGTGCTGGAAACATTCTATAGTACACGCTGCAAGAACCCTAAAGAGGTGAGTCCCTTCTTTCTTTGCTTTCCTGTAGATTTAGTGTCTTTAGCCAAAGAAAATCCCATTTGGAATCCTGAAGTTTAGCAATGCCATTCATATCTGGAAGCTCAAGAAAGGAAACACTGTCGCCCTGGTTAGCTGAGAGCAGCCTGCCAGGAGGGTCCTCCTGCAATTCCATCAGCGCTGAGCAGTGACAGCTCCTGTCCCTGCTCACCCATGCACAGCACAAGCTGCAGCACTGGGGGCTCTGCCTGAACATCAGTGACACCTTTTTACTGTCAGGGTGTCCAGGGAGCTTGGGAATTTATATCCTTGGGAAAACTCAAAGCTCTCTGGACATGGTCCTTGACACCTGGCTCCAGGCAGCTCCATTTGAGCAGGGCCCATTGGATGAGGTGATTTCCATGGTCCCTTCCAACCCCAGCCGTTCTGTGATGGCTTCTTTTCATACACTGGCAAATCCTGAAAAAAATCAGCTGCCTTGAGCTCCCACATTGCTACTCCCTGCAGCTCAGCCAGTGTGTCTTGCTTGATCTCCTAGTCCTAGACTGGGTCATTCTGTTGCCATGCAGTCCTTGAGTTTGAGATTGGCCTTGCAAGAAGCCAAAGTCTTGGCCATCATCACAGAGATTGGGAGGGGCTTCAGAAACCTGCAAACACAACTGGTGGGTAGTTTTCCCCTGAGGGGTAAGAAAAATGTTTTTCAAGAAATTGGCAAGATGACCCAGAGTTATAATGGCTGCTGCTGATGGGAAAAACCACTAGCAGGATTATGAATTGTCAGGCAATATTAGAATTCAACCTGGTCAGGGAAGTCTCTGAGTGTGAACTATGTGGTAAGGAAAGCAATCTGATTTTATTTCAGCTTGTTTTTGTAGACTTTCTCTTGGCCTCAAAGCAATAGCTGTGAACTCATAGAGGATGGGTGAGTAGAGTGCTCACCATGGGTTCCATTCCCAAGGAACAATCCTGCTCCAAACACATTGCTTCACCAAGGCTATTGCAGCATGGTTTTGCTGCAGTGGGGCATGAGGAGCCCCAGGATATGCAGTACCAGGTTAGAAATAAAGGAGAAGAGACTAAAATTAAAATGCAGGCATTGATCTGGGTAGTGCAGCCAGCCCATCTCTGCAGCAGGGGGAAGCAGTGTTCTGAGGGACACTTGTCAGTGGTTGACCTTCCTCTTGCCTTTCTGTCCACAAAATCCAGACATTTCTCAGTATAACTGCTGCTACGTCAGAGATCTAACTCAAGGCCTGGCTTTGCCAGCAGGTTTTTCTGTGGCTCTTCCTGCACCCCTGTTGCACTAAGTGGTGCTTTTCTCCCAGCAGATCTGGGATACTGGAACAGATCCTCACCATGAGACAGCAGTATGAGGTGAAGCAGGAACTGCTGCCTGGCTCTCTCCACTCGCTGGGTACACCTCAGCCAGTCTGCTGGCTCCCTTCCCCTCCCATGAGCTCTCAAACCACTGCTTAGAGGCAACTTTTACTTGTCCAGTACAATATGAGATTTTGCAGCTCTTGGCAGCCATTTCTCAGGAGAATTCCACATGATGGAGCAGTTAGAGAATGTAAATTAGCATCTCCATTTGTCTCCACCTCCAGAAAAGGGCTCATAAAACAGCACATTTGAAAGCAGCATATCTGAAAACTGGTAATCAACTTATTTTTGTACAGCATGCTCAAGGTATGTAGGCCAGTCTCACATGATACTAATTCAGGTAAATGCATTCCATGAAAAACTATTGCTTTACTTAAAAAATAAGGTTATCCATGATGACACTTCCAAGTAGGAATATAAAACATGACAAACTCTCAACAGCCTAAGGACAAGAAGGAAGGTAATTGCAGGATTTCTGTGAGTTATATATTGAAGAATTACCCCTAACAAGTTTACCACAAGAGGATAATATCCAGTAGGAAAATGATGTTGTCTCTGTTTATGACATCCACCATGATACTGCATCAGAATTGCTGAGAGGCGTGACAAGGTTCAGTGCAGAAGCATAAAATAGGATTTAAGCTGCAGTGATCTTTATTGGAGTGACAGATTTTAAGGATTTGATCCCTGAAGACAGGGTGAGGAAGTGATTAGGCAACAAAATCACGTGAGGAGACAAGATCAGTTTGAAACTGGGGAAGTTAATATAAAAATGAGAACTTTCAACATTAGTATTTATAACCAATTGATTAGAGGAGAATGGAAAGATTTTCTGCTATCCAAGATCTTTACACTGGGAATGGAGAGCTTTCAGAAAGATGCCTTGGCTTGAACAGACTTAGGCTGGCCAGGGGCTCCAGCTGGGCTCTGTGGTGGGTCAGATGAGATATTGCCCTGTCTGACCTTTGAATCTGGATCTGAGCCTGCTGCCTCACCTCTTTTCCAGGGTGAGCTCCTCAGTTTAGCCAAGCAATGTGACCTGCCAGTGAGGAAGGTGGAGAAGTGGTTCCGGCACCGGAGGAACATGGACCGGCCCAGCCTGTCCAAGAAGTTCAGCGAGGCCTGGTGAGCAGGAGCACAAGCCATGAACTCAGGTTTTCACTGGAGCTGAGCTCCACAGACAGCTCACTGCCTCCCCCTGCCCTCCATCCCTCCACAGAGATCCCAGCTCCCTGTCTGCCCTCCATCTCCCCAGAGAGATCCCAGCTCCCTGTCTGCCCTCCATCCCTCCACAGAGATCCCACCTCCCTCCACAGAAAGCATCTCTGGTCTCCCTGACCCACTTGGCTCTGCTATTACTCTCTGCTGCTTCTCTGTTAAGAAACATTTCTTGCTTTTCCCCCTTATTTGCAATCCCAAATCTCCTTTTGCTGCTGTACCTTTATTCCTTACTGGGCCCTTGTTTCTGACCTTTCCTGACTTTGTCACACTGGCATCCTGCTTCGACACACATTTGAACCTGAAAAACTCTCTGCTGTTTACATCTTAGTGCTTTGCTGTTGCTTCAGGTCCTACTATAAAGGCATCCTTTCTGTTGCCTTCCCCATAGTTTCCCTTTCTGCATAGATTCCTTCTGCTGCACCTTTTCTGCAACTATTTTGCACACTGTTGCTTTCAAAAGCTACAGGCAGCAGGCTGGATTGGATTCTGCTGTCGTTTGTCTTCAGCATCCTGAAAGTCACAAACCAGCATCCTTCCACGGGGGTGGAAGTTTGTGAGCAAAGAGCAAAAACTGCCTTGGAAACAGCTGTGTGGAAATCCTCCTTGTTATGTGGAGGCACAAAATAAATTTCAGGACAGACAGATTTGCATGTCAGTCCTGGCTCAGCTTTCCACAGAAAAGGAGGGTTCTCCACAGGCTGGTTGGAATGCCTCATTTACAAGGGGCTGCTCTGCTATTTGTGTGAGGAATTGGGCTCCCCCAGGAAGGCCACATAAGCAAAAGAAATCATTAAATATCTGGAGTACTATCTATCTAAATAGTACTATACCTGGAGTTCATCTATCTAAAAGTGTGTATCTGTATCCATTGGGTAGGCATCAACTTTGGGCTCATCAGCATGTGTTCCATTTAACACTCCACCTGTAATTTGAAACCCCTGCATAAAAACCCTAATTCAAAAAGAAAAGAATGTGTATTATTTATTTATAATATTCCATATAGTTACAAATATTTACAGAAACAGTGAATAAGGAGTTGTTTATTTATAAACAATGTTTATTCTCCCTCCATCTGGATGAAATATCAGCTCTCCCTGCACTTGTAGTAAATAGTAACAGTAAGTAGGAAACAGTAAATCCTTTTCTGCCTCAGCCCTCTGAGGATAGAGTCCTTCCCCTGGCCCTCTGTTGCCATGTGCAGCCTGTAGACAGAATGTCTCTCTGATGTGACATAGCAGCTTTACAGAGTTTATTTTTGTCTTGGAATTCCTGGGGCTTTCATTGACAGGTGGAGTCTGTCAAAATGCAGTTATGTCTGAATTGTTACGGAGATTTTTGGAAATTAAAGGACTAGTTTAGGCAGTTTTACTCCTTTTCATATTCCTGGTGGTTCATTTATTAATAACTTGTTTATTCAGTTGGGCTGAAATTCCCCCATTCCTTACTATGTGTGTGAATATTCAGCTGACCTGCCTCTGTCCTCTGAACTGGGCAAACAGTTTGTTGTATTTCTGTGTGGGTTTAATGTTGGAAGGTCATTTCTGGCTCCTCACTGGGCCAAACATGACAGTAATTAGTTACTGTACATGATAACAAATTTAGCAGGCTGGATCTCCAAAGGCCTAGGAGAGAGATTGGCATTGTTTCACTTTTACAAATGCATCTGCTACTGCTGGGAAGCTTTGGGATTATTCTCACAATTTTAGTCAGCAAGATTCTTGTGTCCTCTGCCATCTCTACAGCAAAGGAATTGCTCTTTGTGAGGTCTGTGAAATGTGCTGGTAAAATGCAAAGAGCTGGTCCTGTTTTGGTCAAACCTTGAACATACTAAAGTGTCTTTGCCTTAATAGTGTTATTCTTTTAATTAGTGTGAGGATACACAGACTTGCAGCTCAGGGCTTAATGAATAGGATTCTAATGCCCTTTTTTTTTTTTTGTTTGTAGCTGGAGATTTACATTTTACATCATTTCTTTCTTCACTGGACTCGCTGTCCTGTATGATGTGAGTACACACGCAGTCACCTGCTGTTCTACCCAGCCAATGCCTGCAAGAATGGCAGAGTTTGTTGTCAAACATGCCTTTTCAGATCTTCTTCTAGAGGTTTTCCATACAGGTTGGTGTGTATCCCCTGCATAGCACACTTAGGAGACCACAGACATACTGGACCATGCCTATTTTAAGGACTCCAGAACCAAGATGTTTCCTCTTCTTCTGGCAAAGCAGAAGGCAGTTGAGATTGTATAAAAGTAAATTTCTGTAGGGTAGGAGATAGAACACTTACCTAAGCTGGAAGCTGCAGGGCCTGTTTGTGTGTTGTACCCAATACCTCTTTAAGGCAAATAAATTTGGCTTCCTTTGGAGCATGGACTGCAATTTAATAATTTTATCTGCTAATTTTGTTTTCCTTAGCCAGGATGTGATTGGTTGAGGCTCATGCCTCAGCCTTTTCTCTAATTTGATAAATAGTGAGTTCTCTTCATACAATTTGTACTGCGTCATCAGGCAGAAGTGGTAACAGGACCGTGGGTGTGCTCTTGTCCCTGAGCTGTGGTCACTGAGCTGGGACTAGGGCACTGGCCATCTGCTGCCTCTGTTTTCAAGGTTCCCCTGACTCTTTTGCTGTGTCTGGTTCCCTAGGGGAGATTTGCAAAAGTCTTCTGGTACAGTCTGATGAGTTAAGCAATGTAAAATGTGCACATTCCAAGGCAACAGGCACAAACTCTCCTTGTAACCTCTCATTGTAACACGTGAAGGACATTTAATTTACACAAATTTTAAGTCAGATTTTAAGGTACTCAAAAGTATGAGGAATAGAGGATGAGCTAGCTGAGGAGTGAAGGTATCTGAACCCCAGCTGCTGTGTTCTGTGGATCTGTACATCAAAACAGAAGACTGTTCTTTGAGACCAGCTATTGAAATTTGGTCTGCATGATCTACTTAGCATTGTACAAGAGCCCTATGGCAACAAGGGACAAAATCATATTCTTCAGCATGTTGTCTGTCCATTATATGGATGAAATACCATTTTCACTTTTTGTGACCCATGTCTTTATTCAACACGCATCTTACAATTTTCACAAAAAAGGGAGACATCCATCCTACAGATAGCACCTCTAGATCCTGTAGCAAATATATTATTCTGTTACCTAAATTGTACTAAAATGACTACTTTAAAAAGAAGGACAAAGAACTAACATGACAAGGCATATATACCTGTGAAATTTTCTGACTTTCACAGGTTTATTTTGTAATCTGAGTAGCTTTTAAATGTGTGTTTGTTTTTGTGAAACTCCCTTCTTTCTTTAGGAAAAAATCAAATGTTTAAATTCTGCATTAGTAGTTTTGGACTGACAGCAAAAACCTCTGCCTGAAAGTCAGTGAAACAGCCTGTAACAAAGGAAAGTTATCTTCCAGCAGGCCACTAGAAATCAGCTATGTTTGCTGAGAATAGAGGAATGATGAAATTCAGGGATCTGGAGTTCCTTTCTAGCTTAGGTAAACAGTATGCCATAGTTGTTTGGTAGTTTTTGCTTTGTGCTTTCTGGTTCTATATCACACATCTCTCCTGGTTCTGCACATGTATTTGCTGTAAATTCTATTCCCAACCTCACTCCCAGTCAGCAGGAACCGTGTCTGTTCCAAATTACCACTGCACCTAAAACCACTGCCTCCTGCTTTGCCTCTGTATCACCCACATACCAGCAGTGCTCAGTGGGAAGAAATGCTGCCTTCTTGCCTGAGCTCTGATACCTGGAACGCTGTAGAACTTAAAGAAAATCACCCTCATAGGTGTGAGGCATTGCTGTGCTCTGTGAGCTCTGACCCAGTCTGGGCACAGCTCCAGACAGAGCCTGCTCCATGCAGGGAGGACTCTTGGGGACTTTAGTTGCCATGTTTCTATGAAGGTTTCAAAACTGCCAAGTTCTAAACTACCAATTTTCTGTTGAACAGAGTAGGATCTTTTCAGAGGTTCATTACTTAACAAACTGCAGCATAACCTTCACTGTTAAAGGAAAACAACACATACCTGACGCACCAGTTTTCAACCTTGTATCCACATTTAATATCTGTGATTGTCTAAATCACAGATATTCCTAAGGAAATACTTATAAGATTATTTTTAAATGCTCAAAACATCACCACCACCTCAAGCTTGTAGAAGATGGTAAAAAGTTGGGAGAAGTCTTCTTTGAGCTATTTTATTTGGAACAGTTAAATAGTGTGTGAGATTTCAGGCAAATAGCCACAATTTGGAAATGTCACAAGCAGATGCAAGTCCTTGTAGTGGAAATCTCTTGGCAATTGGATTCCAGACAGCGAGACCAGTTCTGCCTGTAATAAAAGACAACAAAGTCTATAGTAGTAACAAACTACAGGAATTAGACAACTGATAAGTAAAGAACTCCTCTGATATTCTCACATACGTGTTGCATTTTTGTTGCAGAAGCCTTGGCTTTGGGACCATAGAGAGTGCTGGACAGGATATCCACAACAGGTGAGTCACACAGGAAGGAGAATTGCTGTTATCAGTCTTGTATTTGTTTCTGTATTTTTTGAAAATCAAATTATAATAGTGATAAAAAGAGGACACTGAATTAAATTCAGACACAGAAGACCTAAGAATTCAAAGTCAGACCCTCATCTGAAGAGAACATCTTTGTACCTGGTCTCATCTAATGCAAGAGAAGATGAATTGGCAGAGCACTTTGTCACTACCAAAAGAAAATGAAGACTTATGTTCCAGGGGTTTTGTCTGACAGTCAAAGCTAGAGCAAGACCCCTTGACTGTATGTGGAGGTTGCAAACCCATAAAGAGAAAAGTAATGCCCAATTCTAACAGCATGAGGCACAGGAAATGTAATGGGACTAATGACTTAAGAGTGAGGCAATGCCTTGGAGGATGAGTCTCTGAGCAATCCAGTATTGCTTGAAGACAAAAATTTTAGGGGCAAGTCTGTAGTTCTGTGTAAAAATTAAACCATACAAACAAGTGAGGCTTGAATAGGAATGTAAGACTGCAAGGATCACTTGGCTCCCTCTGTCTCCTGCTCTGTACACTTGTGATCCATGTCTTGTCAAAACAACGGGAGCCTCCATAAGGGCACACTGTGATGGACTGACCCTGGCTGGCCACAGTGTGCCCACCAAGCCCATTTTTCTCTCCCCCCTGGAAAGGGGGGAGAAAATATAGAAAAGGCTCATGGGTTGAGATAAGGACAGAGAGAGAGCATACCCAGTTGCCATCACAAGTAAAACAGGCTTGACTTGGGGAAAAATTATTTCAATTTACTGTTAGTGAAATAAGAGTAGTTTAATAAGAAATAAACCCAAATCTTAAAAGCACCTTCTTGCACCCTTCCCTTCTTCCTGGGCTTAACTTCACCCCCACATTCTCCACCTCCTCCCCTGCAGTGGTGCAGTGAGATGTGGAATGGGGGTTGTGGTCAGTCCATCACACCTTGTCCCTTTTGCTCCTTCCTCTGGCTCTGGTAGAAGGGTTCTCCAGCGGGAGACAGCTCTCCATGAACCTCTCCACTGTGGGTCCTTTCCACAGGATGCACTCCATTAGGAATGGACTGCTCCATCCTGGCTCCAGCACAGGTCCACAGGTGCTGCCAGGAGCCTGCCCCAGCACAGGGTCTCCACAGGCTCAGAGCTTCCTTAGGCCACGTCCCCTTGCTCTAGTCAGGGGTCCTTCAGGGACTGCAGGTGTATTTCTGCTCCCTGTGGACCTCCATGGGTGCAGGGGCACAGCCTGTATCACCATGGCCTGCTGGGGAGTCTCTGCTCCACCACCAGGACCTCCTCCTCCTCCTTCTCCTCCTGCGCTGACCGGAGGCTCTACAGAGCTGTACCTCGTATTCTCACTCCTCTCTCCACACCACTCTTGCCCAGCAGTTTTTTCCATTCTTAAATACATTGTCCTTGAGCTGCTGCCACTATCATTTATGGACCCAGTGGCACATCCATCTTGGAGGTGTCTGGAGCTGGCTCTGTTGGACAGGGGGCAGCTTCTGGCATGTCACAGAAGCCACCCCTGCCCCTACCCCACTAGCAAAACCTTTCCATGTAAATCCAACACACACTCATTTTCCAACATTTGTAACAACCAGAAAAGACCAAAACTAGGGTTGGTCATGTCCCACTGGGAAAAAGCAAGTCAAGGACAAACCTGTGTATTACCAGGAGCAACAAATGTATTAATTACAATTTCTACTAAACAGACCACGCCGTGCTACAGACAATGACAAAAGAAATACCAGTTCTCCCAAATAGTCTGATCTTTGGGGGAAAAAATAGCTTCTGATCCAGAGCTCCTGTTTGGATAACCTGGAGGGTGACCAGCACATACCAGCTAGGGAGATGTTCATATCCTCCCTGGAAGCCCCAGGGCATCCAGGTGTGCTTCCTCTTGTGGCCAATTGCTGGTGCTACAAAGGAAAACAAACTAAAATTTATGAAGGCCATAAATAACCAGTTGGCATTAGGGAGCACGATACTTCATGCTCCTTTGAAAATGGTTGCAAAGCCACTTTAGTCATAGTAACTATTAATCAAATAGATTCAGGTTTAAAGAGGTCATGTAATGCAACAACAGCAAAAATTGCTTGTTAAGTAACAAAATCTTGCTGAGTGGGTCTAAGCTTTCTGTTTCCCAGCTGTAAAAGCCCAGATAATTTACCCAAAAGAATGTGAATTACATTTCCTGCTGGGGTTGGATTTTCCCCCCATTAGTTTGATGAAACTGGAAAATTTGTGACAGAGTGCAGGGTATCTGAAGCATCTTCAAGCCTAAAAAGGGAATGGTTTATTCAGCTACTCCTTTTCCACCATAATGAATTGGTTTATGTAGTTTTTAAAACTCTCTACTGTCTGCTCAGGAATCTGAATTATGTTGAAGAAATCCTAAAAATATTCATGATCTTCATGGTGGTTCCCTAAATGTTTGACATGGTGTGGTAAAGTTGAATTTCCCCTGCTGTTTGATTTAATCTTGGCACAGATGACATTTAGTAAGTGAGTGTGTTGTTCAGTTGAACTATTTCCCCCTGTAGCTGCGGGAGCCTGCTTTGTTGATTTGGTTGTAATATTGGGTTTTCGCTGCCTGTTTTTGGTAGCAGGGGGCTACAGAGGTGGCTTCTGTAAGAAGTTGCCAGAATCCTCCTCTGTGTCCAGCAGAGCCAATCCCTGGTGGCTCCAGGTTGAACGTGCCACTGGCCAAGGCTGGGCCAATTACAAATAGCGGTAACACCTCTGTGATAACAGATTTAAAAAGAAGGAAAAAAAAAAGAAAAAGTTATTGCACAGTTGTACTTGCAGCCAGAGAAGAGCAGGCTGAGAACATGGGAGAGGAACAACTCTGCAGACACCAAGGTCAGTGGAGAAGGAGGGATAGGAGGTGCTCCAGGGACCAGAGCTGAGGTTCCTCTGCAGGCTGTGCTGAGGACCAGGGTGAAGCAGCTGTGCCCCTGCAGCCCCTGGGGATCCATGGGGATGCAGAGGTCCACCCACAGCCTGTGGAAGAGGAGCCCACACCAGAGCAGGGGGATGCCTGAGAGGAGGCTGTGACCCTGTGGGAGGCCCATGGAGAGAGGAGCCCTGCTCCTGTGCTGCAGCAGCCTGTCCTTGAGGGACTGCACCCCATGGAAGAGTGACCCATTCCGCAGCAGTTTGGGAAAGACTGTTCTCCATGGGATGAACTTATGTTGTGCCAGTTCACAGAGAGCTGTTGCCTGTGGGCTGGACTCACACTGGAGAAGTTAATGAAGAACTGCTTCCCATGGGAGGGACCCCACAGCACAGCAGGGAAACCATTCCTCTCCCTGAGCAGCAGGAGAAGCCATGGGTGATGAACTGACCATAACCCCCATTCCCTTGTCCTTGCATCACTGGTGTTTGAGGTAGAGCTGGGAAGGAGGGAGGGGCAGGGGGAAAGGTGTTTCTAAGGGTTTATTTCACTTCTCATGATCATGCTCTGATTTTGTCAGCAATTAACTTAATTCATATCTCTAATTAGAGGCTGCTTTGCCCATGACTATATTTGATGAGCAATCTGTCCTGGTCCTTGTCCCAACTCATGAACCTTTTGTTATATTTTCTCTCCTCTGTCTAGCTGTGCAGGGAAGTGACAGAGTGGCTTTGGTGGCTGCCTGGCATCCAGTCAGCATCAACCCACTACAGTTGTCTTTTGCCTTGGAAGGAGTTTTCACTTGCAGCCCTTGCACTAATGTATCTGATGGGTGTTTCCCTGTCTCTCCCTCTCTCACAGCCTCTCCAACCCTCCCTGTTCTGGTACTACATGCTGGAGCTCTCCTTCTACTGGTCACTGGTCTTCACCTTGCCCTTTGATGTGAAGAGGAAGGTGAGTGGCAGTCTCAGGGGAGAATCAAGTACAAACAGGACTCAAGCTGAACACTTAGGAGAGTGATCTCGAAGAGCATGTGTATAGTGACAGTCAAGGTTTTGTGGCAGTCTCTCCTTGCTCATTCGCAGGAATTTTCATTACCACTCATTGGAAGTGGAGAACACTAGCCCTGATATAGAAAGGTGCAAAGTACTGCAGAGTTCTCAATCCAAACTTAAAATCCAAATATAAAAATTGCTCTTTTGTAAGTCTTCTAGGCTGCACTGATCATAGAGACAGGAAAAGAGGTGGTTCTCTGCCAGTAAAGCTGCTTGTGTTCCTGGTGCCAGTGTCCCAACAGACAGGGTGCAGCATCAGGCCATGGCTGGTGGAGGGAAAGAATGTTCTTTGTTGTGAGATCCTCAGTTTACACCATGAGCTCTTCATTCCTGGGTCTCTTGGTTGCCTACATTTCTAGAATACATTTAGTAAAATAATTATGTGGGTAGGACTTTGTAGAGGGAGGTTTCTTAGTCACTAGGTAGAGAGATATCATTGCTACCTGCAGGCACCACATTTAGACTGGAGCAGGAGGTACATTATGCATTTTATTCTCTGCTGTTCCCCTTCTCATCAGGATTTCAAGGAGCAGATAGTCCATCATGCTGCAACCATCTTCCTGATCAGTTTTTCATACTGTGCCAACTACATCCGCATTGGGACACTGGTGATGGTGATTCATGATGCTTCTGATTGCTTCCTAGAGGTGAGCCAGGCAGAGCCTAATCAGCAATGGTGCTCTTCAGTCACAGAATGTCCTTCTGTCTAACACAGGCCAAGCACTGGGGTGTTCCACCTCTGCTGCTCTGCTGACCCAGCCAAGGGTGCCCAGCTGAGAGCTGGGCAGAGCTGTGGTTACCTGCATGCAGATTGTGTCATACATGTCTCATTAACCCCCTGGAGTGTGTGCAGATGCTGTCTTGGCTGCTGTTTAATTGTTCTTTTTCCTTCCAGCCAACTAAGATATTCAATTACATGAAGTGGAAAAGAACTTGTGACAGCCTCTTTATGATCTTCTCAGCTGTCTTCCTGATCAGCCGCCTGGTCATTTACCCCTACACGTGAGTCTGCTCAGTGGAGGAGCTGCCTCCTGAGAGACAGGAGGATTATCTGGGGGCTGCAGCCTTTGGTTTTTGTCCTGGAGCATGGGTTCCTCCCCTTTGCACCTGCCTTTGGGTAAAAAGGCTGCTCTTTGGGTTCATAGAGCAGTCCTGGAGCCCTGGCTCCATCCCGTGTACTTCAGGTGGGGAACTGAGAACTGGGATAGGTATAGATGGAAGTGGCTGATCTGAAACTTCCTCTGTGACTACAAATTTCTGGGGCTTAATTGTGGCCCTGTTAACAACATGCTTTCCCTGCACTGCAATCCCCTCTGTTTTGCAGAGTGCTTTATAACACCTACTATTACTCCATGGAGATATTCCAGCCCTTCTTTGGATACTACTTTGTGAATGTTCTCCTGATGATTCTGCAGCTGCTCCATGTCTTCTGGTCCTGCCTAATTATTCACATGGTCTACAAGTTCATCCTCCAGGGCACGGTATGCATCAGTTTGTACTGTCCTTTACATCACATGGGGAGGGAGGGTCCACCTGGACTGCTTGAGAATACAGGGGTCCATCTGGCATGGATTCCTTATTGTTCTATTGAAATTATACATGCATATTTCCAACAGTGAGGTAGAAGGAAACTCAGTTGTATTAGGGAAAGTTGACCAAAAATTTTTTTATGAATCACTACAATATTGGTTCCACTTCTGATGCTTATATTCAAGAAAAATATGGATTGGACTCCAGGAGAGATGTCTGTGAACAATGCCAGTGACATCTGAGTAAAAATCCCAACACTTTGTGCAGTGTGATTTGCATTTGTAACGAGACTAAGAAATCAAGGAAGAGGAAATTGTCATGACTGGTGAGGTCAGTGCAAAAGTGTTTCCCTTATTGTACAGGATTTTTGATTACAATTGTGTTATGGTGCTGTAGATTTCACACAGTAGGTATTTCTGTCTAAACCAGCTGCCTGGGCTCTTCTTCCAGCAGTGGAAGGCAACAGGCATGCCCAAATTAGATCCATTCCATACTTCACCTGGCAGTGCTGCTCAACAGGCACAAAGCAATCAGAGATGAGTATCTGAGCTCCAGCTGTATAAACTGAAATGGAATGCATCCCGCATCTCACTCTTTCTGGCCTGTAGTATTTGCTGTGCAACCAAAGTGCTGCTCAGTATGTTCCCAAAATCAAAGCCATGACTGGCCACATGCCAAGGATAAAGTCCAAAGGTGACCAGTCATTGCCTTGTGGGAAGTGACCTCAGAGCCCAGGATGATTTGTTTTATTAGTATCCAACTGAAGAATTCTGTCTTACAGGAACTGAGAGCAACCATTAAAGGCTCTTCTTTATCCTGATTGTCCCCATTTTATTTACCTGCCTTCCCTTAAAGTAGCACAGAGCAAATTACTAGCAGATCAGGAAACAGGGCCGGAAATGAAGATACAACTGAATACAGCCTTTTACTGTTTTCCTAGTTTTTGTATGGGCTGAATTACCACTGCAGTTACTGTCATGTAAAATGATGGGGTAATAAATAGTCTTATTAGAAAGTAAAGAACCATCAGGGAAGAAAATCCTGAAGCATATCCAGAATTTTTCCTATTTTATCTAAAATGGATATGCCAGATTTTATATAAAATATATTTGAAAACTTTCTGTACTGAGCAGTAAAAAGCAGAAAAGAATTGTCCTAAACAGATCCATTTCAATGACAATATTTAGTAGCCCAAAGCAATATCAGCAAGAATACAGGACATTCTCTCTTTGAGAGCTACAAAACTTTTGCTGCAATCAGTTCATGTTCTTCTTGCAGGCCTTTCTGGTCTCCACAATTTTCCTCTCTGGCTACAGAATAATCTTTGAATAATCTTTACCACCTTCTCACATGATGTTTCCTAATCCCAAGTAATTAGTACTCAGCCTAGATACTGAAGTACAAGTTTCATTCCCTCATAGAGGGAGGAGCTTTATAGTTCCTTTGGGAATCTTGCCAGATTTAAGGCCTCAGCCACATTCTCTGGCTATAAATGGATATATTTAGAAATATTGACTATTATTTGTCCTTATGCTGCAGGTCCAGACTCCTGCATATTTCCTGATCTGTCAGTTCCAGAGTGATCTAAGGTGCAGGTTGTTCACAGCAGATCCTATCTCCCACCCATATTGTCCTTGGAGGCAGAGTGAATTCAGTGCAAATTTAGATTTTTAAAAATCCTGTCTGCATCTGGTTGTAGTGATCTCTGGAAAGAGCATGAGCTGAAATAAAGTTCTCGGTATGATTTGGGAGATCTCAAGAAGAATGGACAGCCATAAAAGGAGACTAAATTTCTGGGCAGCACCTGATTTTCCCCTGAGCAGTTTCTAAAGCTGAGGTCACAGAAGGGGTTTGCAGCTTTCCCTCTGTCCAACAAGGAGTGTGACACTGTGAATTTGTCCCCAGTATTGGCATCTTATATGGCAGAGTAGAGACAGCCTGAGAAGCCAGGAAGTGCTGAGCTGCTTTTTTCTAAGCTGTCATTTTATCCCATTATTTCTTTTTTGCCTTCCTTTTAAGGCAGATAATTAAATACTTAGAAGTGGATTACAGGTCTCTCAGTCAATAAGCAGCAAGAGGAAAAACCTGACCATAAACCTGAATGCAGTCAGAGTGGAGTGGCTTTGTGTTGAGCCTTTGGGAAGCATGTTTCCAGCCTGTCCCAAGTGTTGTCAGCCTGCAGCCACCCAGGCATGTAGGCAGAAAGCTCCTTGTCCCTTTTGGAAAGTGTAAATGAGCTTGACTAACTGCCTCCCCCATCCTTCTCCCTCGTGCCGATGACCAGGGCAGCAACGTGGATCTCCTCAGGCTCTCCACAGTTGTCCTCAGTCCTGGGCATTTGTGGTTTTGCTCTGCTTCACAGCCTGTAATTCCTAATTTCAGGAATTATGTGTATCAGGAATGTGTATCAGGGTCACAGATGAGATTCCAGTGAGACTGAAAGCAAAGAGGCAGGGAGAATCTGCTCCCAAGGGTAATGTGAAAGCTGAAGGGACCCTGTGCTGAGTGGCTGAGGCAGCAGGTGCATGGTCAGCCTGTGGCTCGGCCATCACTGCTGCTTGTGCAACTGCTGTGTTTATCTGGCTTCTCACTCACCTGCCTTTGTAGATGGAAAAGGACATGAGAAGTGACACAGAAGAAAGTGACAAGGATGAAGAAAGAGATAAAATTAGAGAAAAGGAGAAAAATGGGATCACGTGTTTCAGCAACGTCACAAGCAATGGTTACATCCAGAGGAACGGATCTGAGCCCCTGGACAACAGAGCCCACCGTGCCAATGGCCATGCCAAGGAAAGATAGCTGCTGTCCTGTGCTGCTGGCCTGGCCTCCAGCAACCCCAGGCCACCATCTGTAGAAACAGTTTTGCTCACTGTGTAGATAACCTGGAGTGCAATTGCAGTATTGTAGCTGAATTCCTGCTTCCCATAAACCAAAGTGTTTATAGCCAGTGGATATTTGAAGGAAGTTTTTTGTCTTCCTTCAGTAAAAGCTTACTATAGGTTGTAGCCTCAAAACAGATAGCAAGGGATCAAAGTGGTTTGACTTGTATTAAGACTGTACCATAATTGTTGTCAAATGTGTTAATCTTGAAAAATACTTTAAAAATAAGACGGTGGGTAACTCTGGCAGTGTCAAGTTTTACCCACCTAATGTTTGATAGGAATCTGTTTAGCCTGGATCAGCCTCTGGAGGCCCTGGCCTATTGCCAGTAATTATTATGGCCGACGAGTAACAAATCTTATCACTGGGATACCTCTTCTGAGAAAACAGGTGCCCTGTATACACTCAAAAAATTAAAACTGAGTATAGTGAAATGAAAGCTTTTGGAAAGGCATAAGATAAAACATGCTCTTCTCAAAGGAAGTACTCTTTGTGCCAGTGACCAGTTTTGTAATGTGTGGATCTCAGTCCCTACTTACTGCCCCTAAGCTCCAAAGCCCAGGCTGGAGGAGTACCCACAATCACATTGGAAGAGCTGGGAGTACCACAAATCACATTGGAAGAGCTGGGAAGTCCAGACAGCTGTTTCTCAACACTTAGGAGTTGGACTCAATGATCCTTGTGGGTCCCTTCCAACACATAAAATTCTGTAATTCTGTGATAATTGAAAGTTGGAAGCACATGTTGTGTGTGCTGTGATCTGAGCGTATGGTCCCACCTCTCTGCAGGTGCTGTGCTCAGGAGGGATATTGAAATGCTACATCATTTTGTACTACTGAATGTAAATGTTCTTTATAAATTACTTTTAAAGGTTTGATCGTCTGGTCTCTTTTCTACTTCTTTACCCACCAGGAGGTAAACCTGGCTGGCTGCACCTTACAGGTGGATGTGTGATGAGGGAGACCCGTGTGGGTGCCATTGCCAAGGGGAAGATGCTGCCTGCACAGGACACACAGCCACACTGAGCCATGCCAGTAAAGACCTGCAGCTGCCACGTTTGTCTCCTGTTAGTAAGACTGTGTTTGGCCCTGTAACAAGGGACAACTTGGAACACCCCTACACTAGACTTAGGGGCAGGCCAGGTTACTTGGTACTGCCAGGACAATGGCAAGTCCAAGATGGCAACACTGGGGAAGTGCTTTGGCCTTGCAAGAGTAGGAGGAGAGAAATTAATATCTATTCTTCTTTTTTTCTGAGGTTTTAGGAGGCTAGGAAAGCTCCCTGTTGTAAAATCACATCACCTCTCCTCCTAGGAGCAGAATTCTTCCCAGAGTCTGCATAATGCCCAGTGGAGCCAGTGTATGTTAATGCCTGCTGGATTTGACCCTCAGGGCTTTGTTGTGTCCTTGAAGATTGAGATAAGCTTGTTAGGAGGCAAATCTGGTTTTTATGAAAGATACATCAAGGATACAGGAGAGCTGTTGGATTTGAGCAAGAATTACTGAGTGCTGCCTTTAGCTGAGCATAACAGTCATGAGTCATTGAGGCAGATCAGCTGATGAATTTGTTTTCTTGCCATCAACTTGCTAAGGCTTGAAGAAGCATTCAGCTCTCTCCCTGCTCCTCCACCTTCTCTCTTTATGTTTGCTCGAGGGCTGGGAAGCTTCTGAGTAGTGTGACAGTGTTTAAGACTTTAGTGTATCCATCCCCTTCTCTCTTCACACATGGGGCATCACAGCTCCCCCCACAGAACAACTGTTATAGAAAACTTGCACCTAGTCTGTCACTTGTCTGCTGAGAAACCCAGCAGAGCATATCATGGAACCACCAAATCCATTAGATTGGGGAAGGCCTCTGAGATCATCAAGTACAGCCTGTGACCAGTCACCACTTTGTCAAACAGAGCAGAGTCCAATCACTTCTTAATTACTTCCAGGGACGGAGACTCCACCACCTCCCTGGGCAACCCATTCCAATGTTTAACAACCCCTTCCATGAAAAAATTCTTCTTGATGTCCAACCCATACCTCTCCTGGCATGGCTTGAGTCCACTTCCTCTGCTCCTGTCACCCTAATTCCTACCTGGCTGCATCCTCCTGTTAGGGAGTTGTAGAGAGAAGATCACCCTGAGCCTCCTTTTCTCCAGGCTGAGCCCCCCCAGCTCCCTCAGCTTCTCCTCAAAGGACTCACTCTCTAATGGAGAGTTCTGTTTCCAGATGGAGCACTGGGCACCAAGCAGGGCCTGACTCTCTTTTCCCCATACTTTTATCCCCCATATGCACTGATGAGATGTGCATCACACAGTGTGTGCCCACATAATGTTAGTGAGCAGCTGTGGGCGATGAGGCATCCAGCTCCAGGTGAGCCATGAGAAAAAGAGCATATATAGATGCTTCCAGGCTGCTATGAGGTGGGTGAGTCAAGGCTCCCACAGTGTGGCCCTCAGGCTGCTCTAGCCCAAAATTATGGCTGACGTGAATCTGCTGTCCAATTGTGGACATCTGCTGCCATTTTGGATCTTGTTTTAAGAATAATTTGGCACGGTTGTTTCCTTCTTCCTGCACACAGTAAATTTCAAAGATCTCCATTATCATGTTATTTCACATTATTTCATTCAGAAATGTATGCCCAAGGGAACCTTTTCTTGGATGGCTGCACTTGGAACAGCATTGCTTTTCTCATTCTCACAGGTACAGCAAACACAGCGCCTGCAAATAAAGACAAGGCCTTGTTCAAAAAGCTGAAGTCATGTCTAAACAAGGGAAGGGACTATAACTTTGTCAGATGAATGTAAGCAGGCCAAGAAATATCCTGAGAAACAACTTGAAAGGCAATATGAAACATTGACAAGATGGCTGGATTCAGAAATGATGGTGGCAGACAGCAGCAACACAGGGATAGGTCAGGCTAGAGCCAAGAAATGCAGTGAGCTGCCCTGTATGGCTCCCCAGCTGAGGGAGAGAGGGTTCAATACCTGACATCTCACTGAGAACATATTGCAAGAGGATCCACTTCAGGCCAACAGGGGAGAAAATGTCACCTAGCACACAGATTACCTGAGTAACAGCAAACCTTCAAACCCACTGGCAGGAGGAAATTTGCACTTAAAGGAGTTCAACTACCAACTGTGGAATGCTGTTCTTTGTTTCAAATCATCTTGTTATCAGAAAAATTTAAGAAGGTTCCAGTGGGAATGTAAGAAACTTCAGCCTTCTGTAGTCTGACATGAAGACTGGTCAGAGCAGTAGATAGTATTATATGTGATAGAATGTTGTGTTATTATGCTCCCCCGGTTTAAGCTGGAATGTTCTGTTACCCCCTTTTTCTGTATAATGGTTCTGTCTGGAATTCCCCCTCTTTCCCAGTTATCTGTCCATCACCAGTTACCTTGGAAACTCGCGCCCTTTCTGTCACCCCCAAATGCCCCCCTTTTATCCAGAAACTTCGTGGTATACATGGAATTATTGGACCGGGGACTGGGGTCCCACCTTTGAGCTCTCTCGGTTGGCTTCCCGTCCTGTCTCTCTGATAAAGCCCGCGCTCACGGTGGGCTCCCATTCGCTGCCCGTCTGAGCTCTCCCCCTCCCTCTTCTCCTATATAACACGTGTATTCCCTCCCCCCACCGCCCTTCGATCCGGCGGCTTCCCCTGGGTGTTACTCCGCGTTCTGGAATAAAACCTGGACTGGTCCCGGTCGGAGGGACACTCTCCCATCCTTGTCTGTTGGTGCCGTGCCTTTTTATCCGCCTCTGGCAGAGCTGAACGCCGATCCAGCGCGTCCCTGACGACGGAGCGGCTCCCGCGCACCGAGCCGCGAAACCGCGCACCCTCCCTGCCGCTCCGTCTGCTACCGGGCAAAGACGGCGGCGCAGGCGGGATTTTTAAAGTCACGGTTACCGCAATAGAATTTTTGGAAATAGATGTGAACATAATAGGAAAGAGTCCCCACAGGGCGGGGGGTCTGTGGGGAAGTTGTCTCACTCTGCTGGAGTTACCCCAAAGAATTGGTGAGCACATCTAGTGGAGAGAACCTGCACCCTGCTCAGCTTTGCAAAGGCATTCAGAAAGGTCCCTCACCAGCCTGATGAGGAAACCCACCTGAGCTGACTATGAGAGACCAACACTGGTCATTTGCAACTCTGTATCGGTGCAGGTGCCCCCAAAAAGGGGGAGGGAAAGACAAAGCAAAATCAGCTGATAATGAAGGTTCTTCATGATGGTGTTGCAGGCTGTCTGCTGCAGTTCACAGCACTGAGAGACTGACAGAACACAGGTGAAGCTGAGTGGAGCAGGGGAAGGTGGTGCAGGAGAAAGGGTGTCCTGAAGTTCTGGTCTGTGTGTGAGCACTCCAGAACTGCTCTGGGGAGCAGTGCCTCAGCTTTGTGCTCAGTACATGAGGATTCAAAATGCAAAGAGGATATGGGATGTCACTGGCCAGGATGAAGGAACCAAAACTGGGACTGCTGGGGCCTTGAAGATGCCAGAAGATTTTAATGGATGTAGACAGTCTCCCCTGGGACCTCCATCCACACCCTCTGCTGGGTGTCAGAGCTGATTAAGAGATGAGGGCTTTGCAGAATGAGAGGGAAAGAAAGAGGGGGCAAAGGAGATGACTCTGCTGATAGTGTCACTAGGTAGGTGTCATCTGTGAAACAGAGTGAAATTGAAATCAGCCACTTCCTTGACACCCTCTAAGTTACTCTTGTGTACTAGGACATCTTGCCCGACCTCCAAGCTCACAGACATGTCAAAACAAGTGATGATATTTCAACTGGTCTGACATACTCATGGGATTGAGCAAGAGATTGGGACAGTGAGTGATGAGCTGTGGAGTTGGGAATCCTGATTTAGTGAGCTTTATGCCTTACTAATACCTGCTTGCTGCAGGCAGCCACTGGTTTCTGTGCCCACCATCTTGACCAGAATGGGAGTGTCAGAGGGGTCCTGGCACCATGAATACTGCCTGCCACCTGGAGCTATCTGGGAAGACTTGAAGGGGTCTGCAGACATACAGTACCCACAGCCTCAGCACCTCCTGCTCTGCATCCCTGGTGCCCCATTATTGATCTTTGATGCATCTTTGAAAGGTGAGTGCAGCACCTCTGGTTTCTCCTGTGCTGATTGCCACCAGTTTTGCAGGGCTGCTCCAGAATAATCCTTGCCTGCCTCCTGACCACTACAAAGTGCACTTGGGATTGTCCCCAAGAATTATGAATCTCTCTGCTTTTCATACCATATGGTATTTGTATGGTATGGCAGCTCTTTCCCCTGCTCTCCCTCTCTGCGGTACCTGTAGTTGTGAAAAGACAAGTCAATCTCTCAGTCACACCTTAGCTGTGGGTGGGTCCCTCTGGAGACAGTCCAAGACAGATAAGGCAGCTTGCAGCACAGATAAGGGATTTACTGGGTATGTCAGTGCTGGAAGCCCCTAGCTGAGCCAGGGTTCAGCCTGATCCTCGAGGATGCTCCTGAAGGTGCTATGTGAGCTCCCTACCCCAGAGCTCCTAGGGCTGCCGTGGGACCTCTTTGCTCACACCACTCTTTGCCCAGCTCTGCCTCACTTTCTCCTCCTGACACCAGAGAACCCCAGTTCTGCCAGGGGTGATGATCCACTCCAGGGTCCCAGCTGCAGGCTTGTCACCCCCAGGGAGCCTGAGGACTGGTTAGCACCTTCCCAGAACTTGTCTGTGGAAATGAGGCAGATCCACATTGCTCATCCCATGAGATGGATTCAGAGAGGGCTTTGAGACCCTTTTTCAGGAACAAGGACTGACATGTGGGGAGGTGCAGATCAGACCTCATGCTCAGAAAATTGGAAGCTGGTCAGTTAAAGCAGGGCTGTGTGCCCCTGTGGGCAGAACTGCCAGTATGCTT